ACAACCTTAAAAGAGGAAGAAACATAATGCCATGTTAACAGGTTTCTCATTTATGATGAAGCTGGAAACAACTACCATCTTCCTTCTCTTGTTTTCCCTGTATTTCTGAACTTCTAAATTAAGTGATCTTCCATGCATGAAAGACCAGTTTAATCTATGGATCCTGATTTTGAGAGAAATGAAATTAAATTCATGAGTCTCACCTAAAGACTCAGGATGTATCTGAAACAACAGTAGTTCCACTTTAATGATGTAAAGGCAGAGTATTCTGTTCACCCAACCATGCAAGCCGTTATATATGGTACAAGGATTCATTTTAAGAGAAGTAAAATCTATATGAAGAATAGGAATATGAGTATTCCCTGCATTTTTTCTGCTTAGCTTGATGGCAACCATGAGTTAGCTATTCTGTTTTAAGACCTCTGCTTCAGCCCTCGCCATTGGGTCATTCCTTGTCTCTGTTTCATCCTCCTTTTCTCCTTCTTGTTCCTCGGCCATTTTCTTTCTATGCAACTCCTCTGCAGCCTGCATCGCAGCGCGGTTCTCTGCTTGAATACGTTGCATTTCCTCCTCTTGCTGCTGACGCTCAAACCATGTGTCGGCATCCGCCCAAACTGAATGTAAAAGATATGCAATCAGTGCAATTGACAGAAGATTGATTTCCAGGCTTGTAAATGAAAAGGTTCACAACTTAATGATTTCAGTTTATCAAACATTGGTTACAATGCAAGTTTGAGAACATCAGAAAACCAAAGCTTTAGCTGTATTTAAGAATCTAAAAGAAAACTCAGAATGTTTTGATTGAATCTAGGATGGTAATTCACTTTTCCTAAACACATAATGGAGATCCTAAGTGTTTCACTGTTTCCTTGTTTTGGCCCAAACATAGTACACTCATAAATAGCTTCACTAAGCCAACCAAAATCAACTGGTAAGAGAAAAAGGTGAACAGTATGCATGATAACCAAGTAAATTTTTAACAAGTCTAGCAAAAATAAAGATTATAAAGAACTTTGCAAAGAAAACTAGTAAGGGGAGTCATGCTAAGTCCAAAAAATGACACTCAACCAACATGAATTCCTTTGAGAAGTACAGTTGCTGAAAGCATTACTAGAACAATATTGTCTCCTTCTAAGATTGCCAATAAAAGCATTTTTAACAATTGAGAAGGACCATATAAACCCACGAGGAACCATAGATCTAAAGGATGGTACTACTAAGAAACTGTGCTGCTGATTCTGCTATCCCATTCGCTAGTCTCTCTTCCCTCAAAACACACAAGAAAAGGCCTTCCTTTCCCATCTCCTTTTCAACTAGTAAGTAAGTACCTACTGCAGTCTGCAGCCCCACTATTCTGAAAATGAATTAAGCAAATTCCGAAAGCAGTAGGTTGCGCAAATAGAAGGGATGGCATGGAGTGATGGAGAAAACTTTTAAGCCTATCACAATTCAAACATCCTTATATAGATCTACAAAGTCGTTATCCTGAGTTTCTTCCATGGTAACTTAAATCCAATCCTAAAGAACTGCTGAATAACATGTTATTCTTACTCAACAGAGAGAACAACAGCATTGCAAGAAGAGCTCTTCAGATCATTTAGAAAGTGTTTACTTGCATGCAGATTAATTCCTTTACAAAGGCCTCTCCTGAATGCAAGCATTAATAACTCAATAACAGGCATTTGTAAAACAATTCAATTGAATTGAATTCACTAAAACACAAGACCCTACCATCAAGCCAAAAACCCTAAACCCCTAATTGGAAAACAACAAAACCAAAACCTAAAGCACAAAAAATTGACGACTTCCATGGGCAAATAAATAGAAAATCAAATCAAAATCAAGCAGAACCAAACAGAAAACGATGCAGGAAGGGCAAGTAGGGTACATACTTGGCTGAGCTGCCCATCCCTGCTCACCGCCCTTGATACGCTCCGGCAGTGCGTAGTTGACTGTCAGTACCCGGCCATAGAGCTCGGCGCCGTCCATATTGTCCATGGCGGCTGCGGCGTCCTCTTTCTCCAAGAAGGTGACGAAGCCAAAGGAGCGGTGTTTCTGCGTGGCCTGATCTAAAGGCGTCTTGACGTCCTTTATGTCACCGAAGGGGATAAAGGCAGCATGCAGGATGGACTCGTTTACTTCCTCCGCTAGTCCTCCGACGTAGAGTGTGTTCTTCTGCACCGCTTGCTGCGACATTGTCGACCCTTCTAGCTTCTTCTTCTTCTGCTCCGGCTGTTCTGTTGCCTCTTCGCTCCTCGCCTGGAACAGATACTGAAATACAATCATCTTTAATGGGCTTCTGATTCTGAAGCAGATCAAAATAGTTTTGGGCCTGAGCTCTGAAAGGCTCATTATTGGGTGAACCCATTAAGGGCCTATTGAAAATTACCATTGGGCCTCTTGGTTCATGAAAATTTTCTGAATTGAACCGTTTTCTTATCGGGCCATTTGGCCGAAATATAATTTCCCAGTATGTGATGTGAGGAGACTACTAAGTTGTAACTTGTATCCTTGCTAGTGTTGTAGCAAGATCTGATTTTTTTTTTTT